ATAAATACATACATCATATATATGTATATATATCGTGTAAAAATGTATTCCTCGTTTTCCGCTATGCTCATGGGTTCTACGGGAACAATTTACTTTACAAATCATTTTACCTTTTCATTCGGCGCTATTACACAAAGGTAATACACTCTATGACAAAATTGGGAATTTCCAGTCTACATTTCAACATTTTTGTCATTATCTGAATTGGATCAAGTGAATGCCCAGAGATGCCAAGAACGCCGTGACGTAATGCAACTTATAAATAAGTGTGTTAATGGCTCAAATCGGCACCACGTTATCCAATATTAGTTAATGGCGAGATATTAGGATCAGGGAAAGGTTTTCCGGTGTCTCGATTTTACGCGTTCAATGGGAATCAAAGTTATGTCATTAGTTTTAAATGGTTAATGTACCCGAGGAAGTGAAATGGAAGAAATGATGGGTTTAGAAGCTTAAGTAACGAGTGGAAGAATTGCAGTTATATAAGTAATAGATAAGGTGATCTAAGAGCGTGAAAGGAGATGGAAATATGCTGTTTGTAGTTGCTTTCTGCTATCTTTAGTGTTGTGGTGACATGTAAACTGATATAGTATGTATATAATAAATATATATATATAATATTATATATATAATATATTATATATATATTATATAGTGTGTGTGTGTGTGTGTGTGTGTGTGTGTGTGTGTGTGTGTGTGTGTGTGTGTGTGTGTGTGTGTGTGTGTGTGTGATATATATATAACACATATATATGTATGCACATCTGTCGCCTCTACTCTTCTCCCTTCTCCTTTCTCCTTTCTTCCATCGTCCTATCCTTCCTCCCCCTTCCACTCCCCTTCCCTTCCTTCCTCCCCCCCCTCACTTTCTCTCTCGACCCTCCCCCCATCTCCAGAAGACACAATAAACAAAATCCACTCATCCAGAATCACACACAAACATGCAATACCATTAGGTCGCGCCATCTATTGAGCGCGGATGAAAGCAGAGGAAGCCGTCCTTCACCAGGAGTCCTCGGGCAAAGAAAGTCTCGGGGCTTAAAGAAGGATATGCAACAGAATCCTACGCGGGGGAGAACAATGCGATCGGGCGGAAATTAGTCTGTTGGTTTTATTATCGTGCAATTTGTCTCTTTATCATTCCGTCTTTCTATTTGCCGTTCGTGATTTGAGAAATCAATTTTGCGTCGGTAATTATGATGATTTGTTTTCGGAAGTTTAATGAATTATGCTATTTGTCTCTCTCAATCATATATATATATATATATATATATATATATATATATATATATATATATATATATATATGTGTGTGTGTGTGTGTGTGTGTGTGTGTGTTGTGGTGTGTGTGTGTGTGTGTGTGTGGTTGTGTGTGTATGTGTGTGTGTGTATGTGTATGTGTGTGTATGTGTGTGTATGCGTTGTGTATGTATGTGTATGTGTGTGTATGTGTATGTGTGTGTATGTTGTCTGTTATGTGTATGTATATGTGTGTATGTGTCTTAATTATTCATGCTTTTCTTGTTGACATTGTTGCCTTTAAAGAGGTAGACGGCGTTCTTCTGTGAGAACCTGATGTAGATCGATAAAAAAGACAAATAACAGCCTTTATGAAGCAGTTGTTTTAAAAATGACACTGGAAAAGAAAGGAAAGTTTCCGACATATGACAATAGGTTCTGTTCAAGTGAACTTTCCGCGCTATACGCAAGCATAATACACGGTGTGTGTGTGTGTGTGTGTGTGTGTGTGCAAGCATAAGTATAATAATATATATATATATATATATATATATATATATATAATATATATATATATATAACACAATCGATAGATTTTCTATTTTTCTCATTTTTCCGTTATTCAATCTTTTATAACCACTTACCCCCTGATGGAGAACACCAGTACTGGAGCTTTCAAACTTTCAAAACTCCGTTACTCTCGGCAGTCACAAAAAAAAACAATGTATCTTTCCGAAAATAAGAATAATCTAGACTAATCATGTTCCTCGCAGCTGAGAACATAAACAAGATCAACGCCCAAAAAAGCGTACGAGATATACTTTGTTACAGCAGGCGCACATCTGTCGTTCGTTAAAATGCAAGTTGAACTTTCTCGGCGTTACAAGCAAAAGCGGGGGTTGTTACTGTACTCACTTGGCCTCCGTCACTCCGCCAGAGAAGACTCATATACCACGTGTTGAGTACAAGTTGTGTTATGTGCTACAGGTGTTATAAAGTACAAGTGTTATGAATTACAAGCATTATAAGTTACAAGCGTTATAAGTTACAAGTGTTATAAAGTACAAGTGTTATGAATTACAAGCGTTATAAGGTACAAGTGTTATAAAGTACGTGTTATGAATTACAAGCGTTATAAGTTACAAGTGTTTTAAGTTGCAAATGCCAGAAGTTTCAAGTGTTACTGTAAGGGTTATACGTTACTAGCATTATGAATTACAACTGTTACAAGTTATGAGTGTGATGAGTTTGGGAAATGCCAATGGTTCAGTTTGACAAACTACTGTGATTTGCTTGCTTACAAGCCATGAACGTGACATGCGTTGGGGAAACCAAGCGATAAACGACCTTTCTGACACATTCTTCTTTACGACTGAAAAAAATAAATAAATTGGAAAACGAAGCACTTTGGAAACAACTACAATCATCGTCAAAAAATAATGAAAAAAAAAATAAGACAGATAAACAAATACATGAATGATAATGAAATACAACTCCTTCCTTTTTATCGTAAGTTCCCCGTGGTTTCCCGAAGGATTCTTACCGACGAGTGACTAACACCCGAACCCAGCAGCATCCGACGACGAAAAACTACGGAGAGCTGGGTCTTCAACGGACTCTAAACTACCCTTTAACGACCCGTTAGCGAATAACTACTCACTCTTCTGTAACGGCCACGACAGTCTTGTTTATGGTCGCTGAATGACACGAAGAGTGTGTGCTCTGAACAGGAAAAAATCTGGAACATCTTCGTCAGAGAAGGTATTGCTGTGTGATTTTTTGCGTCGCACTGTATGCACTGATATTGATTTTTTATCGTGTGAATTTGCTGTGGGAAATTTGACTTTGTGGCGTAGAAGCGAATAGAATTATCTGCCTTAGAGAATGAGTTGTGGGATCCAAAGAGGAAGAAAAAAATGAAGTATTTGAATGGTAAAATTTAAAAATTCACAAAAGCTGTCACCAATCTTTGTAAAGACATTTCTCTTACAACTTTAGATGTCTTGAGAATCATGGCAGTGTTGGCTGGACGACATAGAAAGTGAGGGGAATACATAAAATATATATCTATATGTAGACAAATTGATAGTCACAGAACCGCAAACCTCTTTTTTCAACTAAAATTTAACGACGGCCTCAGAGTGACTGAGTGCAAGTGTAATAGCTTTTTAATTGTACACCGACACATAAACGTAAACACTTATGCTGAAGAAATCTGATTTACTTGTTTAGCATTTCCCTGCTTGAGTGGAAAATGGAGCGGCTTCTGTATCTTTCTCTTTCTCTCTCACTCTCGCTTGCTCTCTCTCATGCTTGCCCCCCCTCTCTCTCTCTCTCTCTCTCTCCCTCTCCCCCCTCTCTCTCTTCTCTCTCTCTCTCTCTCTCTCTCTCTCTCTCTCTCTCTCTCTCTCTCTCTCTCTCTCTCTCTCTCACGTGGTTATATATTGCCAGCGAGTTCACAGCCAAGGTGATGGTAAATGATTGATATAAAGCAGTTTAATAATTATTTCAGTAACCTACCAAGCATTAACTATGAACACACAGCATCTTTTCTGGTTTAATATCCCTTTAGCATTTTCATAGCTTTGTGAGATCAGAAAGAAACAAACAAACTAAGGTTTCATTAACACGTTTAACACGACTAGACGAAGTTCAGGGTAAATACGGGATGAAGTTCGAATTGAAGTTCAAACAGCATCTGCATCGTTCTCATTGTGTGTGTAAGAGAGATCTGCTTTTCTACGATTCTTTTCTACACACACGCACACGCACACGCACACACACACACACACGCACACACACACACACACACACACACACACACACACAACACACACACACACACACATATATATATATATAGAATACACGCAGATAAAATAGATACATAATTTTCATAGAAAGGCAGATAAAGGGAGGGAGAGAAAAAGAGGAAGAAAGAGACAGATAGTAAGATAAGAGAGAGAGAGAGAGAGAGAGAGATCAACAGCAAAAGCGATAGAGATAGAGAAAGAAAGGGGGGGGGGAAGAGGCAAGAGGCCAAGACTAAAAAAAAAAAAAGAAAAAAAAAAAGAAAAAGAAAAAAAAAGAAACCCAAGGCGTGAAATTAGTTTACATGCAAATCACACATTGAAAGCAACATGGAAAGTTATAACTGCAGGTGGTTCTGAGTTTGCTTTGACAGTTTTCTTACATTAGCCACAAGTTGCTAACGTAACTCGCTACAAACATCCCTCTCGTATATTAGAACATGGCTGACAGGTGTTCTCATAAGTGAATTACTAAAATCGTTCTCTCCGAACTGACCAAAAGACAAAAAAAAAAAAAAAAAAAAAAAAAAAAAAAAAAAAAAAGGAATTTAGATATAAATATTCGGGAACGAAAATGTGTTTTCTTTTAATGTAAATATTAAATACTGTCATTCTTTATGCGTATGTTCATGAGGAATGTAAACGTCATGCGAGAAATATGCGCAGATGTCTTTTATGACAGTCAAAAGGCAAAGTTTATTTACTTTCTTATTCATCTATTTATTTTCATGTGATTTTTTTTTCGCAAACATTTTATATGTAAATAAGTGTGCATCTGCAAATAACTGGATTTAGCCTTTTTGTTCAGATATATGCCACTAAGACCGAAGGAATATCATAATCGAATTGATAAATACCATAAACAGAATGATCAAGATAATATCTAAACACATCCCTGCCAGTAGCCATCAAATTTGATGAATATTTAATTTTCTTTTTCTTTTTCCCCAGATTCGGTGCCGCCATGGTGACGTCACGCCCACCCGGGGTGCTTCTTACAGGTGAGAGACCGCGAGGCTAAAACATCTGACTAATGTTTTGTAAGAGACCGCGAGAATAAAACTTCTATATAATGCTTCGTCACACATGATCTACGGGCGTGTGAATTATTCATATAAAAGTAACAGAGGCGTCACATTGTTTGCTTTATTTGTGGATCCAAATTTGATGCGGATATTGTGGTAGAGAACAATTCGAAAAAAAAGAAAAAAATGGAGTGTCATTCTCAATGGAAAGGGGAATTGGGGAATTGGTCGTGACAAAGCTCATTTCGACATTGGTAGAGGGTTGTTGCGTGAACTGATAAGGAAAAATCATCTTTTATTATCGTATTGTT